CTGGGAGCAACGTAGAGACCCTGGCTTCAGCAAAATTGACTTCCCTGTGTTGTGGTGACCTCTGAGTACACAGAAACATCTCCACTACAATAAGTGGAGGGAAGTGTAAAACTGAACTGAGACTGGCCTCCAAGTGTCTGACCTGGTCATCAGGAATCAATCCATGTCATGGCCACCCAAACTAATATGGACTTCCTGCCTCCAGTTTCAGGGCAGAGCAGAGCCTGTAGAACCTCTGTTGTTGTTTCTCCTTCTCCTCTTATTATCATTACTGTAATTTACACAGTGTCTGTGTAGACTAAATATTCATATCATTATCGTCTGTTGCATCTCAGCATTTACCAAAGTGCCTTTTATTGCAGGGCTGCATTCAAATCAGCTGCTTTAGCGGTTATGCAAAAAGATTTTTATTTAGATGATGTCAGTGTACAGTTTGGGGACTTCACTGCAGAGAAAAGAAACATGTTTGCATTTCAGCTTTGAATTCTAATAGAGGGACTTCAGCCTTATTTCAGTGTGCTGCCTTGTAGAAATCAGTCTTGACTGTCAGGACTGTGGGTACAGTTATTTACTGATGTGACAAAAGCAATAATACTTAATGTTAAAAGAGGAAAATAAACTGTACAATGAACAGCCAAGTTATGGTTATGTGATTACTTACTTTACTTTTAAAGCTACTTATTCTTCACTTCTTTCTTTTTTTAACTCTATATTTGGTTTTTGTGACAGAATGAGCTTCAGCTTGTTGCTCATTCCTCCCACAGTGTAATAAATATTTTCACCTTAACATAGGACAAACAAAATAGATGGGTTGACACCACACAAGCAGTATGGAGGCATGTTATGTTTTTTCTGTTGTTTAATTACGTCTGAAGTCTTGGTCACCAGTTACTTCAATTGTATCAGCTGCTACAACAAACAACAAGTGTTTTTCAAACATTCACCCAGCCCTCCACAGTGCTGAGTAGATGAGTGAAGTTTTTGGGTGAACTACCCCTTTAATGATAACATGAATGTAATGTTACTCACATGGAGGCTATTCCGCATTAAAAATGTAGATACTTTCAATTTAGACTGACTCACAAAAAACAAAGTACTTCCTCTGTGGTGCAGCTTGCAGCGGGTAATCGTCAGGAGGTGTCGCATGGAACTACACTTTCTGCATCACTGCAGTGAGGTAATTTTGTGTTTAACCTCAGTTTATGTTATAAAAATGGGGTTTTGGCAATATGCATGTTATTAGCCAGCAGTGGTAACCCAGTCAGGTTTAAAGGGCAGATGTGGCGCAGTAGGTAGAACACCATGTCCTTTACCTGCAGAGAGTTTCACACCTGGCTCCATGTGGTTGTATGTTTATGTCGTTGATTGACATACAGGCCACAGACTTGGTCCTGTAGGTCACAGCTGCATTTCTGAGATGTGAATGTGGAAACAGGTGCATAGTGAGCAATGCTGTTCATTTTACATTCACATTCCACGTTTACTCAAAGGGTTTTCAGGTCGGCCACTTGTACTTTACAGGGTTTTTTCCAGTTATTGCTACTCAGGGGCGGATACATGGAGGGGGCACTGGCCCCAGCTGAAATCGAATTAGCCTCTGAAGTGCCTATCAGTAGTCTTAAAGAATAAAGTCACGATAACAAATACCAACAAGCTAAGCTTTCTTGAAGTACACAATGTTCTTGAACAAGGAACAATTTTCTAAATAAATTAATTGATGTGTGGCTTTGCTCAAAGCTACAGAGTAAACAAGGAATGACTCAAATGTGCACCTTACTGAATCAGAAATTGGGCATGGATTTTGGACATATAATTGGCCTAGATCTTCCACTGCTGCTACTTTATACTGCTTCACTACAGTTCATCAGGAGAGAGAATAGAGGGACATTGTATGTCAAAGTGACAGGTTGAACTTTTAATGTAATGGGTAGATGATAATACATTTTATCTATACGTCACCTTTCATATATAAAATGCAGCTCAAAGTGTTTGACAATAAAAGACACAAAATTAGAGTTCTGTAAGAACACGTTAGCAATAAAACTAAAACAGATCAAATTAATTAAAAGCATTGAGTTGTATCTTAAAACCTTTGACAGAAGCTTGTTGTGGTGGGAGTTTGCTCCAGACCTTTGGTGCATAACCCCAGAAAACTGCTTCCCTAAACTTTTAATAGATACGATTATTTCTGAGTGTGAATGTTGCCTCATACAAATTACCAGGGAACTTCAATGCCCATTACCGCCACACTATTGTTTAAATCACCGGAAAATTTGTGTCACATAATCAAGGATGATGAGTTGTTGTTAAATCATTCATTTCCATCTCAATGTATACAGAGAAAATAGATTTGTGACATTTCCTGCATTCCTTCCATCCTTAACCATTACTTGCATTTAAATTCTTTGTTCAAAGCTGCCAGTCAATATTTTAACCTGAAAAAGTATTCAGCATAAACTAATCAATTTGGGCTTTTTAACTTTTGTAAATGATTGTCATCCACTTAATGCAATTTCTCAGATATGATGTCTTATTTGGAAGATGCTTGTGATTTACTAACATTTTTCATTGCCTTGCATCCGTTGCAGGTGTTTTAGCGGGACCTTTAAAGAGGACTAAAGGACTGTATCCTATTGTTCTGATTCTGAGACACAGTAGGTAATCGATGTGCTCATTACTTCAATGCCCATTCCCTTACAAGTTAAACTACAACACCCCCGGATTTAGTATATATACTATTTAATTTATCTGCTACTGACAGGTTACAACAACGTTCCCCATCCATTGCATTAAATACATTTGAAGAAAAACTAATTTCAGAAGTAATTGAAGTAGGTCAGTGTCATTTCTATCATAAGTTTTAATTTTGTCAAAGAGAGTGTTCTAAGTTTTTATGGTTAATACTCTGATCTTAGTAAGATGTTTGTGGTCTACATTCCTAACATACTGTATGCAAAGCCAGATTACCTTGGCTGATTGTTCACTGAAACTACCCATTCCAAATACCCAATATTTGTATCTCTCTGAAGAGGCACAAAGCAGGAAACACTATTACCATGAACAATGAACTGTAGCCCTGTATTGTAATCCACCACAAAACCAATCCCTTTCCCATAATGTTGAAAGTAGCTCTTTGAGAAACATTTGCATTACTATACCAAGAGTAATAAGTAATTGATGCCTTGTCCAAAGTCAACCACTGTTCAAATAGCTGGTCAGGACTGCATATGCATTCTGGGCTCCTCACAGAAGTTTCACAGTCTTTAATGCCTTTTGGAAGTGATGCACTCTGCAAGCCCTCTGCAATTTTTGAGACAGAAGCCCTTTTCCACAGGATGAGGTAAGTTAAACGTAGTAAACACCTTTTATCTTCATAGAAAATGTTAAAAATGTAGACTTTACAAATTCACACTCAAGCTTGCACAGCTATTGCAAGTGTTGCATATCATTGAAGTTCCAGTCACCAGTTATTCTAAAAGTGCTGCAATGAAAATCTCTATATATGTACTTAGCAAGCTTCCCAATTCATACTCATTCTCCTTTCTTTCTTTCTTTTCAGACAACTCAAGTCAGTAGGTCATGTTGTTCATCCTAAACAACAAGTACATTTAATCAGGGAAATGTACACACCAAGAGAAAGGTATGTTATTGCACAATATTGAATATTGAATATCTAAGAGCAAGCAAATTGTTACTGTGTTAATTCAAACTTAATGGGACTGACAAATTGACCTCGTTTTACAAATGGCCATATTTAAAGATAATTGCTAATTGTGATGCAACCTCTGAATGAGAAATAAAACACAGTAACACTACGGATCAAATCTTGAAGGTTATGAAATAATACTTAAACCGCAACATCTTTGATTTTCTTTCCAAGTTGGGATGACCTTCTAGCTTTCTTCCACCAGAGCCTTAAAGTAAGAACTCCTCCAGATGTGCTTGTGATTCACTGTGGAGGCAATGACCTTTGACGAGTTCCTTGACATGTCGCATTCTTCCACCAAGCTTCATAGAAATTAGTTCATTTTTTGTGTAATCTTGCTGCCAAACAAGCAAATAAATAAACTCTCAGACTGGGGTCATTCTATGTAATTCTATTTTATTTTGCACCGTTTTGTTCATGGATTGTGAAATCCACCTCTGGATAACAGAGGGTCCTCATCTACATATCTGAGTGACAACTCCCTGACAGCCCTTCAAAAGTTACTTATCCCCACTGATAAGCATATGTCACAAAGCGAAGTGCACCCACCCACTCAAATGTTCACATTCTCCCAAACCTATTCCTCAGCATTTCACTTCAAATCTGAACCCACATATATTAACTAGAGGCACTAGCTATGCTCACACAGATTGCCATTGCCTCCAAAAGGCGGTTATTTTGTCTGAATTTGTTCTTTTAAAGGGTAAATGCAAAAAATTACACATTTGATTTACATTAAATTGTGTGGAGGTGTTGGGCATGATCCAAGGAAGAACCCTTTAAATACTGGTGCGGGAAGTTTTTTTTCCCACTTTCTTTAACATTGTAAGATAATTCATGGAGCTTGATGAAATAAATCAGGCATGTTTGGGGGAGTGATATGTATTGAGTGTGTGCAATTTGGTGCAGATCAGAATATAATCTGGATCTAGTGAATGTAAAATTGGGTTTGTTGGTATTTTTTAAATCAGTGTTTTTGTCAAGTGGGTGTAATTAAGTGGTTTTTATGTTGACTGATTTCCATACTTCACTGAATTGCATAGCCTGCTCTATATTAGATAGGATGTGGTTTGTACCAAAATGCGTCATAAACCCCATTTGTAACCCAGATCACCACCTTTATGTAGATTAGTAGAAAAATAATGTTTCCAAAGAAAAGGAAAATCAAAAAGACAAGTCGGCTCATGTCCTGAAATCATAGACTGTGCCTGAAATACAGTTCATATGATCAGAATTAAGACTCCAGTGAGAGTGGGAGGAGGAAAACGTGGACAAGAGGACCATCCCACCGCTGAGCACCCACATCTGACCACTGCCACCGAATCCTCCTCACTCTCGGTTTACAACCCGAAGGTCGTCTGACTAACACGATAAGACCCAGAGCTCGATCCCCCTCTGCGGTGGAACAACTTTTACGCATGACGACCAAGTTGCCATTCCATCTCTGACAGCTGGATGCAGAGTCCCTGAACGCATCACCCACAGTCATTACAGAGCTATTTTTCATCTTAATTAAGGTAAGGGACTTTTTTTTTTTAATCTATGCAGCAACTGGGACATTTTATCTGCGTTTGTTGAGACATAAAACTGGAGAGGAAAAGAAATGTTAACTAATCGGGTGTGTATAATAGACCGTGGTGCGTTTGTGGTGAATTTGCTGTCAAATTGTTTTTCTCCTCTTTAGGTATTTAAGTCAAAGGCATAATAATAAGAGTGATACGTTTTAAAGCAAGGCGCAGCTCATCTCATTGTGCAAGCACGTGCATTACAGCTGGTCAGAGTTACAATAAGTGGGCTGCCGGGAAATGAGCGCTCTGGCACACGTGTAGTGTGTGTGTGTGTTGTGGACACTAACCTACTAATCCTACTTTTTCTACTCTCACAGATTTTTATATGAATCTAACTGATAAAGTTGGAGGTCACATGATTAAAAGTATTTCCTATATGGTGATAATGCAGTGGTAGTATTTAAGAAACTATTATTATAGGCATAAACTCTTACTAGAGAGCCAATGTTGAATTCTTTCACTTAACTCCCACGTTCCTTAAACCCACTGAGGTATTCTTCTCTTATTTTCTCTCCCTTTCCTCACAGCTCAAATCCTCTTTTACGCCTGATTACTTTAAATATTTATGCTATGAAAGCTGAGCCGAGGAAGTTAGAAGGCTGAGGTGTGTGTGTGTGTGTGTGTGTCTATTGGCAGTCACACTAATATGTGAACAACATGCAGGGGACTTCCTGTTAGGCTCCATGAGTCACTGCATACTGGTTGCTCCCGAAAGGTTTGGGGTTTCATGATGCTCAGACTCAAAGGGTTTGGGACTTCTGGAGGGGGAGAACAGGGAGGATACTTACAGTAAACCACCTCTAGAGGTTTAGTGCTCTGGTAGAAGTACTTCAAAGCTCCTCTCTTTGCTCTCTGTGCCTTCTCGATTTGTGTCTCTTCACTTCCAGCTGTCTGTGGTTTTTGTTTTGTGGAAGCCATGTTTTCCAAGGCCACTGCCAACTTTGTCCGCCAAATTGACCCAGACGGAAGCCTCATCCATGTGTCTCGAGTGAATGACTCAGGCAAACTGGTTCCGATGGCGCTAGTTATCAAGCGCAACCGCATCTGGTTCTGGCAAAGGCCCAAGTACCAGCCGACGAATTTCACCCTCAGTGACTTGCTGCTCGACGACAGGGAGCTCAGCCCTGGTATGTAGGTGTGCATGCTCAGACTGTTTGTGTTTTTTGAGAAAAGTTCTTTTTCATCGATACAGTATAGTATTTTGTTGTAATTAAATCTTTGATTAAGGGTGAATCATATCTGTCTCATCAGGGGTGCGTGAGACAGAGTTTGTGACCTACGACGGGAAGTTTGGAGACAAACTCTTCGGGAATCTGGACACCAAGTTCGGCTCCCTCGGCGTGGAACTAGAGGGGCGTGGCACCTCCGAGCTCCAATCAAGTTTTGGAAAGCTGAAGAAACAGGAACTGGATGTGAAGAAGCTGTTATGTGACTCCAGTAACAGGTTCCTTCAGATCATGACTTTAATACCTTTGAGATGAACAGTGTGAAAAAACACAACTGTGTGCACTTGGCTGCTGTAGATTAGAACCTCTTCCCCTTTCCTCCAGGCTGGTCGACATGGGGCATGTGCTAGTGAAGCAGCTGAAGAAGAAGTCCGAGGTGCTCGCGATAGTGAAGGAGCGGATCCTCACCTCCGACTCCTGCGCTGTCACCCAGTCGAAAAAGGAGAAGTTCATTTTCAAGGCCGTGCTCGGTCTGGTGGGCATGTTGGGGAGCTCTGTTAAGGTGGGTGTGGATGGGGTTGAGTTCAAACCTCTGCCAGGGAGGTTATGTTTTGAAACTTGATGAAGGTATGTGTCAAGGAAGAACCCAGTAAATTTTGGTGGGGATGGATCAAGGGATTTTAGTCAGTCTCACTCTACCCAGTTCCATTCTTATTAAGCAGCAAGAATGGCACTCAGTAGAAAACAAATTTCACACAAACATAGATATCAGTTCCCTAAATGTGCCTGATATTTTTCATCAAGTTCCATGAATTACTATTACTCCC